TTCTCTCTCTCTCTCTCTCTCTCTCCCCCCCCCCCCCCCTCTCTCTTCTCACCATATATATATATATTATCTATTTAATTAATTTATATTTATTATATATAAAGAGATAGTACTTCAAAAATTTGAGAAACTTTCAAAATTTGTGTCAAATATGAACATTCTATGTTTCCTATTTTTATTATGTGGGTTCAATTTTCATCTACAATTTTATCAACATAAAATTTTCAATGCTCTAGATTAATATAAAAAGATGATTTTTAAGATTTTTCGAGAAGAAACTTTCTTGACGCAAAAATTTCCTCGATAATATTTTTACTATTATATTCTACCAAATTAATCCGTTTATTTAAAAATTCTATTTGTTTAAATATTTCACGACACATGAATTGATAATAACAAGTAGGGAGGTAATTGATTTTTATGTATAATACATTGTTAATTGAATGTCAAGGACAAAAGAGATATAATATTATATGATATACATAATATATATGTTAAGTAGGGTACCCATTTCAAATTCTTAGGGGATACATCATATACTTAAGTATACAATTAGATTACTTAGTAATTTGATTATATTGGGACATAGATTATTAATGCTATAATTATTTATAAATTATAATATACTGAATCTATATGTATATATTGTTTAGGGAGGAAGGGACACATTGACCTAAGGGAGAGAAGAGAGAGAGAAGCACAAAGTGATTTTTGTTTGGATTTGGATGTAAACATCGTAAACACTAAACCCACATTTGCTTCTAATTCCCTTTCATTCTCCCAAATATTCTCTTCTAATCTTTCAACAACTTTGTCTGCCATCCTGGGTTTTATTGTGTCTTCCTTCACATGACCCTCTTCTATTTTCTCTCTCTCTCTCTATATATATATATATACACACACACACACACTGTACATATATGCATACACACACATGTATATGTAATCATCTTGATGATCTTTTGATTCTCTTGTCATTTTTTTTATTCTTTAATTAAACTGATCATATATAAATAAATATTCTGATCATATTCAAAACCCCTAGGCTAAATCAAAGAGATAATCTTACTTAATTAGTGTAATTTTCAATTATAGATTTATATAATATATATGGGATCCATAACTCTCATTTTATTGGGAACTAATCTCTTCTGCCTTTTAATGCTGACACTTCTTGGTCTTTCCAAGCAAAACCCTTTTGCTTCTGTCATTTTCTTGATGGAATGGAAGGGTTAATTAATTAATTAATTTTTTATTTTTATTTTTATTTTTAAAGTTTAATTTTTTTAACTGTGCCTCTCACAGAAGTTACCCAGAGAGGATGCACTAATTCATAGGCGGTGTTTGGATGGTGCATTAAATGCATGATTAGGGTAAAGTAAATGCACTAGTTTCTCTTTTTTACTCCCAAACAATTCAACATGCACGTTATTATATATATATATATGTTG